AACAATGTCACACAATGTGTGCTTCTCTTTAATTACTATTGTATTAATTCTGATTTAGGGAGGCTTCATATGCTCTATAGGGCTTACAATGGCAGATCTTTTGGGAAGTAGATTGCCAGCCTTTTCTTTCAAGAGGCTTCTGGGTAGACTGGAACCTCCCAAGTTTTTCAGGTAGATGCTAACTACGCTCATTAACTTTTTATAGCTCCGAGGGATTAATACATGTGTTGTAACATAATAAATCAGTACTCCATTCCTTTTTATGGGAAATGAAATGCTATTGCATGGATGTACACCCAAACCCATTGCCCGCAAGCTGATTCTGACTCATAGCAACCCTATAGGACAGAGTAGAACTGCCAAATAAGGTATCCAAGGCTGTAATCTTTACAGAAGCGGACTGCCCTATCTTTCTGCCTTGGAGTAGCTAGTGGGTTTGAACCACTGACATTTTGGTTAGCCATTGGTCACTGATACAGTTACACTATATCACCAGGGTTCCTTTCATGAATAAATCAAGGGACTTCGAAAAAGTTCATGGAAAATGGAATTAAAAGATAAAAATTAAAAATACAAAATTTATATCGCAACATAAGCTCCATGAAGGTCAAGACACTTTTATAAGCTATGATTCTAGGCATTTAGTCTATTCTTTTAAAAACTGAGAGTCTTAGGAATTTAACCATGTCAATATGATCTTTTTTACAGTAACTGAAGAAAAATGGGCGCCCTTTCATTATTTTTTAAGATTAGGAAACAAAAACAAGTCAGAAAGAGCCAAATCAGGACTATAAGGATTTCCCCCTGAAACTCGCAAAATTGCCCTTGTTTGATGAGCATAATAAGCAGGAGCATTGTTGTGGTGGAGGAGGACTCTTTAGTGAAGATTCCCAGTTGTTTTCTTTGGCTAGCTTTCCCAAAACACTCTCATGATACGCATATGCTATTGTTCTTTGATCAATTTCAGACTGAAGATCGTGGTAGAATTCTTCAATATCTTCACTAGCTTTAACGGTTAATGTATACATTTCAATAATAGTCATATTAACCGGTCTTCTTTGTAAGAGTGTGGACATTGTCCTATCACAGAAAGTATTGTGCTTCAAGATAAATTGTGAAATAAATTCCTTCTGATGATGCCCCAGACTCCATTCCTGTTGAATTCGTTATTTACACATAGTGGACCATATAACCGATTCAAAATGGCCAAGACCAGTCCATTTCAGCACACTAGAGCTTAGGATATTGTGTTCCATTTCTTTTTTGATGCCTTCCAATTTTCCTAGATTCCTACTTCATACATTCCACGTTCTGATGATTAGTGGATGTTTTTAGCTGTTTCTTCTCATTTTTAGTCAGGTCCCATCCGCAAAGAAAGGTCCATAAAGTGTTGCTCCATCCATGTCTTATAGTTCACTCTATTTTGAGGAGGTATCTCTTCCCCACTCATATTTTGAGTGCCTTCCAGCCTTAAGGACTCATTTTCTGGAAGTATAAATGACAATGCTCCCTTACTATTCATAAAGCTTTCATTTCAATTTTCAGAAATGAACCTCCTCTTCCTTCTTCCTAGTCTGTTTTAGCCTGGAAACTCCACTGAAACCTGTTCATTGTGAGTGAACCTTTCAGCATCACAACAGCATGCAAAATAATAAAGATTAGTGTTAGGTGTCATTGAGTATGTTCTGACTCATAGCGACCCCATGCACAAAAGAATGAAACACTGCTGGTCCCATGCCATCCTCACATATATTATTCGGTTTGAGGCCATTGTTTTAGCCACTGTGTCTACTTTTTAATATGTGATGCCCTTCTCCAGGTACTGGTCCCTCCCGATAATATGCCCAAAGTACATATGCCATGAGGCTACAATGGTGTCTAAAGGATAAATGGCCAAAATGCTAATTGTAGAGTATAGGAAACAAAGGAAATGATCACAAAATCATGATTGGAAGCAGATCAACTTATTGTGGAGACTACAGAAGCAGGGAAAGGACCATGATTGGGATATGTACACACTTGCTGATCAGGAAAGTTTATACTATTGGTTCTGGAGCCCTTCAACCATCTAGCCCATCACTCATGACTATCTAGCCCTAGCATCCCAACTTCCAGGTGATGTGTATCTGTAAATTATTTTTTTTCATCTTTATTCAGCTCTTAGGTTCATTTTCTCATTACAAAACAACCATTTTATTCTCATTTGGTACACAAATTTCTTTTAATCTTAAAAATCATTTTATTGGGGGATTTTATAACTCTTATAACATTCGATACATCAATTGTATCAAGTGTATTTGTA